TTTGACAACTCATGTGCCAGTGTTCAGTGTTTGAACAAGCGGTCAGTGTTTTTAATAAGCGAGTGAGAAAAAAAAGGAATAAAAACATGGTCGTTTTTTCAGTCGGAAATTAAGCCATATGCTGTTGATTAAAATGTTATAAAAGCGAAATATTGGGCGAAATGAGTATTGATGCCCATTTATAGCTTGACATGCATCACCAAATTGGGACATGGTTAGAGTTGGTAGTACCATGGAAGGTACTAATCCATGGTAGTACCAGTACTAGTATACGCGGGGAGGGAGTCCAGAGAGGAAACAGCCAGCATCCCTTTTACGGGAAAATGTGAAATCTCGACGGATTTGTTTCATTCTCACATTTAATATTAGGTTTTGCGGGCTTCTGAGTTCAAAAAAGATGACTAAATCAACCAAAAAGCAAGCGTTTTAGAGACATACCTATGCAGAAGTTGGTTGCTAGTACTTAATCCATTTTTAACACCTAGGCTATTCTATTGACAGTGATTGTTTATTTCATGGATTTGGCACTTGAGGTGGCTGATAAGCCGTGTCGAAAACGTGCACAAAATGACCATTCAACGCGTTTTCGACACGGATTAAAAACCAGTTGTAAAAATTTTCATATGTTGCCGGCCAAAGAATTGTGTTGCGCTTCTAAATCTATATAAAGTATCAAAATATGTGTTTTTTGTTGTAAAAACTAGGATATGAAGGGTACATTGAGTCCATCGTTTCAATAGAATGCTCTGCTATCAAGAGACTATGCTTTGTGGAAAAAGCCATGCCCAGCGCAGTAATTCACACCTTAGACAAAACCTTGTCGGACCGGGATTAGAGAGACTGTGTCTTTATGAAGAGTTGTCAAGACCAGATATAGTTGTCCCTAAAATGTGTCGATTTATTTGTGTGCGCTCTTTATTTTACAGTGCGTCTCGCCTAAAAAATACTCTTCCAAATACTAGTGAAAAGGGTTCTGAATAAATTGTTTTGTTTTGATACACTGTTACGCTCGAGTCACGAATTGAGCGGAGCCTCGTGAATCCTGACTTTTCATTGGGCTGGATAATTGATATGTCACTGGCAGATAATAAGTATCAGAAGACGTTTATTTTTATTTTTAATTAATGTGTGCATATTGTCACCGAAAAGTCAGATAACACTGTAGCAGTTTCCTGGCTTTGCGCAAGGGTTTTAAGCAAAAGTGTTGCAGCTCAGACTAGTAATACAAGTCTGAGGTGAGCTAAGACGAGTACCACTGTACCATGCATTTCTATGAGCTCTGTGCGCGATGCTATGGAACGCCGGTTAAGCCGGTGAATATTTGAGAAAACAACACAAACTCAACTTTGAAGTAATCCTGAACAACCAAATTTATATATGTTACACACGCAGGGATAATCTTGTTACACTGTTCAGGGGAGTCTCAACAATCATCCCAAAGTACGGTTTTCTGCGAGTAATTGGCCTTTGTTTTCACCGCGTATTACGTATGTGACATCAAACTATTTATTATCCCTTGTTTCGCGAACCCGCCGAATGAACAGGAACCGAAAATGAAATAATAATAAAATTGATCAAAGTACCGAAGTCTCGCGCAGATGAGAAACAAGGTTATAAATGGAATAAAATTTTATTTCATTTCTTCTCTCCGAACAATGATCTCACTTACTATTCTTTGAAAATCACACAAATCTAATGGGGGAAAAAGAATTAATTTAATTTTTTTTCCGTCTCCTCAAAAAAATTGCCTTAAAAAAACTCAAGAAACAAGGAATAAAAAAAGTCTGGCCTTATTAATGTTAGACTTCAGTAAAAACGTAAATACAAACCATTTTATCGCGGACTATGTTTTGCAAGGTAATGTTATTGTAGTGAAATGGGACGCGTAATAACACTAAAACTGGGAAGCAAAACTTTCTGTTAACGTATATAGTTGGGAAAAAGAAGCTAAACAATAATTTCACGTTCATCTTGTATTCTGGTGAACACTTAATAGACGACTTTCTCGGAAGTAGAAGATGCGCACGCATGTCATTTTGTGGTAAACTTGCACGCGTGATATTGTGCTTCTGGGTGTACCATCCAATCGACGTCACAAAAATAATCTAATGCTTTGGCACATCGAACTGTGCGGAGTTCGAGTCTGAGCAAGACGCAAAACCAATACATCATGTACGAGTTCGAGTCAAAACATGTCACCACGGAAATGCTCGTAGTACTGTTTTTTTTTTCATTTTTAGAATGTTACTAATAACTTATTTTATCCAAGAAGGAAAATATTCATGTATTATTTCTAGTATTGTTTATTAACCCAGGCATCCTTGCTTAGCTATGTACGTTTCCTTGAATTGTATATTTTTCCATAGCATAGTCAGTGTGAAATCGCATTTGGCTAGGGAGGCTATTAGGGGTTTCCCCTTTTGGTTGCAGGATTAGGACTTTGTTTACAAGACTGAATGGTGGCATGGTAGTTTTATGGTTTCTCGTTGGTTTGGACAGTTTCTCACCTGTTAGTGAACTATTGGAAGTAATCGTTACGCAATAAAAGTATACAGTTGCACTGTTATAGCGGTCTTCTAGAGTGTTATTGTCAGCACTTTGATGTCTGTATGCAATCTGATGGGAGCTTGTACGCATAAATAGGACGATTTATTCCGGTACGTTGAAGTTTTAGTATCAATTGGGAACTTATAAGACTCATGCGGAATTACATATAGGAAGCTAGTGTTTTCATTTATCTTAAAACAATTTCACTGCAGCGCCGTCTGCTGACAGTGTTACGGCGGTCGTAACGCTACCGCTGACTTTAGTTTTGACATCCATGTTTTGACAAAGTCCTGTGATAGAGTGGTCCTATGCTTTTGTGGAATAAACATAAATGCAAAGGGATTTCTCAATTTCTCCAGAGCACGTTCTGTTCTCTATAGTAGCCTGCACAGAATTTCAATGTAGCGTAGGTCCCATCTTGAATTTTCAAGGTGAATGTTCCGGCGAAGCACTGTCTGAACGGAACAACACCGTGCAGGCGCACGATGCGTTGGTCCATACGTTGATATATAGAAGATAATATTTGGTAATCGTAGTCCTAAATAAGTATTAAAAATAGCGAGACGTTTCGAGCAATGGCTCTTTATCGATAGCATAGAAGAAAGTGTTAAGGTCCATACGTTGGGCTTGTTGCCTGTGTTACATAGGAACAAGCCTGGGTCGCTATTCAAGTTGATCTAGGGGATCACTGTTATCAGCTTTTAAATAATCTACTAATAATCTACAGGGTTTTTCTAGAAAAACTGCAAGAGCGGGCACTGCAATTCAGCGAGAAATTCAGTGGGGGAGTTCTTCCTACCAGGGTGTGGAGTTTTTGATAATTCTCTAAGTTAAAATGGAACATTCTATGGCTTCCTTGGGGCCAAAATTACTACCATATGTGATCCCTGGTCAATTAGAATTTTATGGTTGCCAGAGGATCTGCTCCCCAGGGTAAGGGACACATGGCCATGGCATGATGGCGCTGCGCACCTGTTCCCTTGTAAAAAAATCCCTGATCTAATAATTTATTCAAGATGTTTTGTTAACTGCAACAGCTTCAAACAGCATGCAAATTAAAATATCTTTAGACGCAACTCGCCATGGCAACGTGAATATTTCCCTTATTTAAACCTTACCTTCAGCTCCTTACTAAAACGAATACATCAATAACAACAATTTTTTCAGAATTACACATGTTCATCCTACTTGATATGTCTACTTAGTCCCTGTTTTAGGCGCAGCCCGAAAAGTTTCTTATTTCTGGTTTCCATCCTTTACATCTCTAACATTTTCTCAGGAATTCTGCAGCAGATATCAATGAAACTTGGCAGGTTGATGAACAAGTCTCTGTTGAATATGCACATTTTTTTTTTCCAGATCTGAAAATCCTAAGTGGATCTTTTTCATGATTTTCATCCAAAATTACCTCTCCCTACTGCACTGACAGAATAACTGAGCATGCTCAGAATAAATAATTAGCTTAGATTGTAATGCCAGGGTTTTCAGTGATGTCTTGACCTTGATCTGAATCAGTGACAGAAATGAACCACAGTCTGGTTTTTCTGAAATCTTGAAAAAAGAGGTCAGAAAAGTTGTTGTATATTATACCGGGTATCTTTAAACTGTAAAAATTGCATCCATTATTAAGAGCCATCACTGAATACCGGGTCACAAAGTTGAAGATCAGTGAAAACACTTTGCAGTAACTGTTTTTGAATTTTGGCCAGGCACATTGACACAAGCCTTATTTTCCAACTGGGGGGAGGATTGGTATCAAGATAAACCAGTTGTGACATAGCACAGCAGTCCAACAAAAACTGGGGTATGTCACTTCGCTCCCTCAAAGTACCCCAAGTGACATAGTCGTGGTGACACTGAAAGAGCTCCCAGAAAAAAGTCCTGTATATGAACATAATTTGGGGAAGTAGAATCACTTGTGTAAAATTTTTAATATTTATTAAATAAAAAAACATTGTATTTTGTGTTTGAGAAAATCACCTAAACAACTTTTTACCTAGATTTTGTTGGTGATCATCTTTTCCCCTGGATTCCCTGGAATTGGGGGCTGGGCCAGTAAAAACTGCCTGAGTTGCCCCATTTTTGACATCACATAGCAATCCAATGAAAACTGGGAAGGCTTGAGGTGACACAAACACACTCCTACCCGGTATATCTAATTAAATTCACTCTGCATACAGGACTACTTATTTAAGCTGTGCTACAAAATGCTTGTAAAAGCATAGCTATATCATATATTAAATTATTTTAAAAAATTATCCATAAATCCTTAGCCCTGAAAAAATGGCTGTCATTGTTACATGCTTTTATTACATGATGATGATTGATACTAGAAGAGTAACAATATAGATTGGTAAAATTTCATTCATTGATAAAATTAATGCTTGATTTTTTTTTTTTTTTTACAGATATTGGCATATTATTAAAACCCATAACAAACAAGCTTATCTATAATGGCTAATTCGGTTAATTATCACGTTCTTGAATCAGAAATGGATTCCATGCTCCATGATACCGACGACGCAACACTTAAAGAGGAAACACATTCACACTCGATAGGCATGCGTAAAACACCAATGAAAAGCATTATCATCATGGTGCTGTCTATTGTGCTCGTTTTGTTAATTTTAGTCGTAATCGGTGTTTTATCTGTAACATATTTAAATTGTCAGGATGAGAAACCAAAAATTATTGTTGTCCTAGTTGACGGTTTGCGTTGGGATTTGTACAATGTGTCTATGTCAGCACTGAAATCAGTTGCAGAGAATGGTGTCAGAGCTGAATCAATGGTGCCAACGTTTCCGAGTTTATCTTCTCCAAATATGTACAGTATTGCAACTGGACTGTTCAGTGAAAGCCATGGAGTTGTGCATAATCTTGTCTTTGATGTTGAAAATAAAACTCAGTCGCATTCTTTTGAAGAGGGGCTGACTGTTGACTATTGGTGGGACCAGCCTGGTGTGGAGCCACTCTGGATTACTGCTCGTAGAGCTGGTTTCAAAACAGGCACAATTATGTATCCCGGAGGAAGTGTGTCCATAAAAGAAATGCGTCCAAATAAAAATGTGTTTTATTCGTTTAATGCCACTATGAAAGATGGTGTGGATATAGCGATTGAATGGTTAATCGATGATGACCTTGATTTGGTATTCCTTTATAATACTTCGCTTGATGACACCTTGCATCAATATGGTGTGAATTCACCGCAAGCAGATGCCGTTGTCAAAGAAATGGATGACGGGTTAGGATATTTATTGCAGAAATTAGAAAACCATACATTAGCGAACTCAGTTAACGTTATCGTTGTTAGTGATCATGGACATCATAACATCACTGAAGTTGTCCCATTGTTTGGGCGTGGCGTAAACAGAGACGATTTTGAATTTTATCTTGAGGTTTATGGACCTATGACGCTACTTCAGCCGAAGGAAGAAAAAATGGATGATGTCTATGAGACATTAAAGAAAATAGAGCATTTTCATGTCTACAAAAAGGAGGAGATTCCGAAAGACTTACACTATCGCAATAACGAGCGAATTCCATCAATGCTCATACTTGGTGACCTGGGCACGGTCTTGAATGTGGGCTTGAATTCATCTTCAACTGTACGTTCCACGCACGGATGGAACTCGTCGTACATGGAGATGCATTCAGTGTTCTATGCCCAAGGACCTGCATTTAAAGAAGGATTCATGTCTAAATCATTTACAAATGTTGATGTCTATCCATTGATGTGCAAAATCCTTGGTGTCACACCACGGCCGAATAACGGTACTCTGGACATTGTACAAAATATGTTAACAACATAAAATTATTGTACTACGCGCTGTATTTGCTCTGTTAGTAACACATACATTTCCGTAAATGACAGAGTGTTGATGTCATGATAATGATCCAGGATAAATAACATTTTTGTCCTGTGTGCTTTCGTTGCAGATGTGCTTCTAATAGAGCAAATAGTATTTTTTGTTATATGACCTGGTGATGGACACTTGCAATTTACTTAAACATTGCCATTGTTTCCTTCCTGTGAAGTTTTAGGATTCCATGGCCTGATCAACACGATTACTCCACCCAAATCATTGTTATTGTTATGACTCCTGCCTGTGAAGTTTTCAAGATTCCATGGCCTGATCATGGACATACTACCAAAGGATGAACCACTGAGTTAAGAGATTACAAAAATGGCTGTAAGATTTTAGCAGCGTGAAGTTAGCATTAGCATCGTATTGGTATCGGATTCACAGTATACCAAAATAAACATTTTCAGAATTTTCGCATAATCATAGTAAAACTAGAATTGATCACATTTTGAGGATGATATACAGAGCTGATAGTATGGTGATTGTTCAGCTTGTCTGGTCAACTCTTTCTCTACTCCAATTGCATGTATACCTGGTACATGCATTTCTTTGGTGAACCTCTGAGATTTTTTGATATGTTCAATTCTCTATTTAATAACTATTTTTGTCTTTTTTTTGGGATTAAGATGCTATTTTTGACTTCTTGTCTGCTACTGCAGTTGCTTTGTATATGTGTACTTTGGGTGGATCTTTATTGGATTTGAATATTTTGTGATTACCGGTATCTTCAATTCTGTAATTTTAGCTAGTGTTTATTTTTAATGTGACTTCTTCTTGATGGCTGCTAATTTGATAAATTTAAAGCCAAAAAGTCATCAAAAGTACACATTTTTATCATTCGGCAACCAGGCCTCAGTCAGATTGTGTTGACAGATTTCAGTTGAACAGTTCATTTGCATAATAATTAGCTAACTTCTAGCTGTTCCATGACTGTTCCAAATGATATCTAGATAAACTACTCAATGGATTTTGATGAAACTTACATCGATGTTCTGAGACAATGCAAATGCCTGATTAGTTTTGTGTAAAAAGCCATGCATATTAATTACCTATTAAAAGGCAATTGCAATTATTGCATTTCAATAAGTGCGTTGCATTAGTTTTGGATTGAAATTCGAGCATACTAATTGCCGAATTTGCACAATGTGCATAATCATCACATTTTATTCAAATTTGGTGCATAGATGCTCTGGGGTAATCCACAGATATGATTAATTTAATCTTGAAAACTTATATTGATATATATATTATATTTTCGGGTTTGAAATTTTCGGCATTTTGATGCATAATTGGGTGTTTTGGGTAAAAAAATGTTTGTTAAAGCGTGGTGGTCGTCGCGCAGCACGCGTTGTATACGTCGCTATGAGTCCCATATCGAACAGGCCGCGGCGCGACGACTGCCGCCTTTTAAACAATCTTGTGTCAGTGTTATCTCAATGGTTAAAGAATGTATAAACTATATTATTAACACATCAGTAAAAATAATCCATTTAATTTTACTACTATGTATATTTTTGGTTTAAAATAATACAGTTTTTTTGGTCTGTTTGTTGTGTGAGTGTGTGTTTTGCCTCTAGAAATACGGACATTTTCAACCTTAACACATGGAAACCAACAACTATTTACTATTTTAATTAATACAAGGAATTATAGGAAAATATCAATCCGTATATGTAGAGGTGTGAAGATCACTGCAGCCTTTCAACATAACAAACTTTCGACGTTAATTAATTGTCAATCGGATGTGATCACAAGCTGCTAAAAAGCTGTCTTTTCGTGCCTTTATATGTCCAAAAAATTATTTCTTTCACACTAGTGAAAATTACACATTACGATGACGTAAAGGGGTTAAACAGCGGAACTATTTCGAACGTCAAGTCGCTTGTTAATTTTTACCAAAAAATTATATATTGGCCACAATTACAGCATAATTCTTTGCATCAAATTCATTTTGGATTCACCAAAATTCACAGTGTAGGTATTTTAAATTTGCTTGTGCATGGCTACGGCTTGGCATTCACCATAGCCAGTCGATACAAATATATGTACAAGTTTAGAATTAGATTCGCTTGGGGACATATATTGAAGTTATATAGGTATAGGAACAGTTACTAGTAACCGTGGTATACTGTAAATTACTTTATTTTAGTTTTGTGTGGAGTTTATTTTCACTGATTTTTGACGAGTTGAATGTAAAATATAGGAAAAAAGGTAAATTCACTCGATTTAATTTTCACTGAATCATTCTTTCAGCGAAAATTAATTCCAAGTGAAAATAAAGTATTCTACAGTAGGTTATTAGCGTGGTCGTGAATTACACTTTATTTGTTTAATTCTAATAAAACTCAAAATTATAACAGAAACCTTATTGGTTCAATTAGTGTATAACGTCATGTGACCTAAACAATCACTTTGCATAGATGTAATGCAGTATAAAAAAATGCTGATTTGTGGAGTCATAACATTTTTTTTCTGATATATGGCGTCACTTAAAGCGGGAGGTTCGTCACCTGCGCATGCGCTGGAATTGATTCCTAAACGACGATAACGCGCGCTAAAAACACAAAAGCTCATGGGTACTAGTAGTCATTTGTTTGTAAACAATGACACGCTATGGCCATCTGACGCATGCGCAGGTGACGACTCCACTCGCTTTAATATTTATATCGTTTAATCAATATACTAGTAAATGACTGGACACAAAGTCTAATGACAGTTTAGGATCTCTGATTGTATTTTGTACTAAAAGTTCCAGCACGTTGATTATTGGACTAAATGCTACCTGGCTCTGAAAAATGGAGGCTTACTAGTACGTAGTCCTCAAACAGGAATTCGTAGTCTTTAAATGAGAAAAGAAATCAGCTGAGCCATTTTATATATATATCATTTTTATGTGAGTAACCCCAAGGGACGTTCAGTACAAGACTACTGAAATAGTTAAAGCGGGGGAGTCGTCACCTGCGCATGCGTCAGATGGCCATAGCGTGTCATTGTTCACAAACAAGCGTCTACTCATGAGCCTTTGCGTTTTTAGTGTGTGGTGTTATCGTCTCAATTCCCGCGCGTGCGCAGGTAACGACCCTCCCGCTTTAATAACCGTGTTCCAGTCCTCACTACGCCACGTTCAACATGAGACTCGTGTGACGTACACAACACGTGGAAAAAAACATTTTTACACAAAATTGAACGTTTGATCACATTCTGAAGAAGCCTTGTGTCATTCAAATTCAAAAAACATTCTCTTTTTTTCTTCTTAAAAGTTGTTAGTTCCCAGATTGTTTGTGTTTATTTTCTTTGGCGTGCTATATAGTGCAGACAAGTTATCGGTGATGTCATTGTTGTCGTGGTGACTAATCTGTATTTCCTTATATGGATGTGTGCCTGAAATCGATACCCGTGGAATAGGTGACAGTTGGTACTCTATATTGTAGAACTCGGGTGAAGGTAAGTCTTCTTGTAAAATGTTCATTTCGTCATCGTTGTTCTGCTTATTCCTGGAAATTAACAAGCACAGAATTGAATTACAATGTTTCCCATAATCCCCTATGTGATCACAGAATCGTGTTTAAAACTGGGGATGACAAAATATCGAAATTCAGTAGCATTGAACACAATCCCTCCACACCAGGTATGGTACTTTATTTTCGCTTGGAATTAATTTTCGCTGAAGGAATGATTCAGTGAAAATAAAATCCAGCGAATATATATCTTTCTTCCTATATTTTACATTCAACTTGTCAAAAATCAGTGAAAATAAATTCCATACAAAACACCCAAAAGGTTTTTTCAGCGAAAATAAAGTATTCTACAGTTTCTTGTTTCTCGGAACTTCGGATCGGAACCACACGTACAAGATACTCGACAGTATCATAGGTAGGTAATTATGTCCGTGAGTACGTAACAAATTCACTCATTTGTTAAATTCCGTAACTGATTAGTTACGGAAAGAGACGCAACAAAAACATTTTTATTTCGTTTTCAAATGGACGTCCCTGCGCTCTGTGCTCCTTGGAATTTATAAATATTTATTAAGATGGGG